ACATGCACAGTAGAGCACCAATGTGTCAGATACATGAGCAACACTACCCAGAAGAGGAGGGGAGACCCAGGGGCTCACGCTTCAGGATCACTATCAGGAGCATCATGGGAGGAAGAGAAGCAAAATAATAAATAAATAAATAAATAAATAATAAATAAATAAATAAATAAGCTGTGTTCTTTTGATCTTTTGACTCCACTTATACTGTAGAAAACGTAAAACAATGCACAGTGACAGCAGATGGATACCTGAGATGGGGAGTTGGGAGAGAGAGAGGGAGGGAGGAGGAAGGAATATGGAAGTACATGAGGGGCAGGGCATAGTGGCCACACTTCTTTAATCCCAGCATGCACTCAGGAGGCAGAGGCATGTGGATCTCTGTGAGATCAAAGCCAGCCTAGTCTACATAGTGAGTTCCAGGCCACTTGGGGCTACAGGGAAATGCTGTATCAAAAAACTGAAACAAGGGGCAGGAGAGATGGCTCAGCAGTTAAGAACACTGACTGCTCTTGCAGAGGACCAGGATTCGATTCCCAGGACCCACATGGCAGCTACCAACCATCTGTAATTCCAGTTCCAGGGAGGTCTTCTGACCTCCTCAGACATTGCGGGACGCAAGTGCACTTACTTACACACATGTATGCAACACACTCATACACATAAAAATAAAATAAAATAAATTTAAAAACAAAACAAAAGCAAAGCATGTGAGGGAGCTTTGAGAGTTGATAGAAACACTTGTTAAGTCTCTTGGGTTTGGAGTTAAGTGAAAACTAATCAAATTTACTCTTTGAACATACCTAATTTATTGTACTTTAATTGTAACAAGTTATTAAGATGAATAAATGATCTGAACATTCAACAAATGAAATACATAAATTGGCAATTTGAAAAGCTGCTCAGCATCTTCAGTCATTGGGAAGCTAGCGCTAAACCCATAATTATACAACAATTACACACCCTCTAGGATGGCAAAAATTAAACAGTGATGGTTAGGGTGTAAAGAAACCAGAATCTTTATACCTTTATGTAGGGAATATAAAAATAGTACATATACCCTGGAAACAGTTAAGCCATTTCTTATTTAGTTAAACATACTACATGGTCTAGTTATTCAAATCCTAGCTAGAGAAATTAAAAGTAGACTGACACAGTCCCATACACAGCTATTCATAGCAATATTATTTGCAATGGAAACAACTAAATACCTATGCACAAATAAGTGGATAAGGAAATCGTTTTATATCGTACAGCGGTAAACTGCTCATCAATAAAAAGGGGCCAACAGCAACCACATGGATCCTGAATTAAAAACACAGTGCGGAACAAAACAAGACAGTTATACACAAAAATGCCCTACTGTGTGATTCCACGTATTCTAGAACAGGATGAATTAATCTTATGAAAAAGCAGAAATGGGCACAAGATGTACATCTGTAATCCAGATGTAGGGGGTGGAGGCAGGAGGATCAGAAGTTCAAGATCATCCCTCACTACACAGCAGATACAAGGCCAGCCTGAGCTATATGAGACCTTGTCGGGAAAAAAAAAAAAGGGTAAAATCAGTAGTAATCAGTAGTTACTTGGGGCTGGGAAGCAGTGGGGGATCATGGACATACTGATTTGTTAACCTACATTTTTGCAAATTAGCCTTAGATAAAGTTGCTTTTTAAAGGTTCATTATAAAACATGAATTAAAGTTTATAAAACCAGCGATCCCAGCAATATATTTGTATCAAGTGAAACAAAGAGATGGATATAAAAAAATTCTAGAAACTGACTTGAGCTTGTAATGATTAATAATTTAAGATGTGGTTATTTTGATATTTTAAATCAAATTGGAGGGAAATATCCAGAAATATCACTTCAATTAGCCCTTACAAATATTAAATAAAATTAGAGCCTTTTACCACTTACAAAAAAATGAATTCTACTTGGATCAAAGAGTCAAATGTGTAAAGAAAACAGAGTTGGCCTAAATGGGCAAGCAGAAGAGGCCCTCAGAGTGAGCTCAGGGTGCCGGCTGGGGCCATGCCTATGCCTGGGAAAGTCTCCCTGCTCATACACTGCTTGGAATCCAGCCCTGGGGAAACCCAGGGTCCTGAGGCGGGGGTGCAGAGTCCCCCAACTCCTGTCTCATGCTCCAACACTGGAGCAAACTCCAAAGCCTTCTTTTACATTGCTGTCTGGAGGCTCAACCCTCTGGGAAACGACTCAACAGTGGTACCTGCTCTGACTTGAAAGCTTGCCCCGAAGACCACATAATGCACACGAGAATTGCCCAGGGTAGTTGCAGACACTTAGGAAGGCGTCAGCAGTGCTGATCCTTCCCTTTGAGCAGGAGCACCAGACATGTGACAGGTACTAGAACGGTGGCTCTGTGGCGGGAAGCAAACACTGTATATAATCAGTCCCTCTTCACAAGTGACTTGGGAAGCACATCTCAGCCATAGCCCAAGGGGACTGAGACACTGGTTGGGGCACCAGGCGAGCAGATACCCATTCAGCACTGAGCATCTCAGCCCAGTACCCAGCAGTTAGGGAAGCCATCCTCTCCTTCCATCCCAGGGCTAGGTCACTCTGAGGTCTCTGAGCAAGTCTCTGGTGAGTCACTGGCCCTAGAGGGAAGAGCTGATCTGACTACGGAAGATGTTTCCAGTCTCTTTGTTTCCCTAGTCTCTCGGGGCCATCTGGATTAAGCTGAATTAAGAGGCAGGTGAGGAGCACAGGTGCTGGCTGCTTGGGCAAAAATCTCCATGGCAACAGATCCATCTGGCTTCCTTGCCTGGCACCAGGCCTTGTGACTTCATGGTGGAATCTTCTCTCTGTGGGCAGAAGAGGGGTTGCCGGGCGAGGAGGAGGTTGGGAGGCGGCCTGTAAGGGAGGCTTTGACCTTGGAACTCCAGTTTGAGAATTATGGCTTCACAGTGTCAGGACTTGGGGCCACTGATGACTTGAACACAGGACTCCCAAGGTAGTGAAGGTGAGCAGCATTGCACATGGGCCACTCTGCTGAGGACCCTCTGGGGAGTTGGAGATGCACTGGCCTCTTTCAGTCCAGGCCTTGCAGGTGAACTGGAGCCAGGGTCTGAGCAGGAAAGACAGAAGTGTGGATCTTTCTCACCCCAGGACAATCTGTCCTAGTCAGCACCCTCTGTATGGCAGGAAAGGTAAGGCCTTGGGGGCATCACAATAAGAGGTAACAGCCATGGCAATGGTCTCCCGAGGGAAAATATTCGGAGGGTCCTACAAACTTAATGCTCAGTCCCTTCATCCAAACAATGAGCCATCCAACCCGTTGACATTGTTAGGTTCCCAGGGTTTCTGTAACAAACTACTGCTAACTTGGTGTTTTAAAATAACAGCAATTCATTCTCCCACAGTTTGGGAGGCCTGAAGCCCAATATCAAGATGTCAGCAGAATTAGTTTCTTCTTGAGTTCAAGAGTCTGTCCCTCACCCCTCTCCTGGCTTCAGGGGAGAGATGATATCCTTGGCTATGGGACTGTCACTCCATTTTCTGCCACATGAAATTATCATGACATGCTCCCTGAGTTTCTGTGTCTAAATTTCCCAGTCATAAGATTTAGGGCACACCCTCATCTTAACCTGATTGCATCTCATACTTAAAAAAGAAGGGCACAGTCACAAGTGCCAGGGCTGGGGACTGGGATGTATCTTACAGGGATCATGCAACAAAACACAAGTCACAGTCAAGAGCTCTGGCTTTGGAGGGGCAGGTTAGGCTCAGCCCCTGATACTGTCATTCAGCCTGTTTCTTTAGCACAGCAGGCTAGGAGAGACAAGTTCGTCCCTTTCAGCCTTCTGAGGATTAAGAGAAAGGATCAGAGCTCTTCAGAGTGTTTCAGATATGCTCTTTTATCCCTAGACTCTAGGAGCTATCTGTCAATCCTGAATGGGCCTCTGGTGACATTCAAGGAACCAGGGACCAGCACAGATCATAAGTGTCTGTGACAGGATTATAGAGCTGAGACCATTACAGGAGTCAGGAAAGCCAGGGCCAGATCACAATAGACTGCTCTTCCATGGAATGGGAGGTCATAAGTTGGGGCAGCCTGAGGGCTTGCTCAGTATTAAAGGGTCCCTACCAAGTTCCCATGGGTCTGGGAATGGCCCTAGCAGACAGCAAGCAGAATGAGAGACTCCAGGCCTCTGCTTCCTCCCTGCCTCTCCCTAAGACATGGCTTCTCCCCACCAACACTGAGTCTGCAAGAACTTAGATCCTGCCCAAACCCTCTCTCTCTCTCTCTCTCTCTCTCTCTCTCTCTCTCTCTCTCCCTTCCTCCCTCCCTTCCTTCTCTTTCTTTTCCTTCCTTTCTTCTTTTTTCTTCTTCCTTTCATCCCTTCCTCCCTTCCTTTCTCCCAATATTTGTCTACTGTGTACCATGACTCTTCTAGGTTCTGGGGAGACAGGAGTGTCTTCCTTTGATGAAATTTTTAACTATTGGGATGAAAAATAACCAAAAAACCACACAGACAAGTGCTTCGTGCAGAATGAGTACCACCTATCATTGGTGGGAGGGGGTGGCACTCAATAAGGAGATGTGACTAAACCAGGGGTTTGTAAAGGAGGGACCTTAGCCAAACACCAGAGGAGTGCTGAGGTAAGAGTTCTGGAATGTGCAAAGGATACCCGCTCAGGAGGATGCTTGGTGATAGATCAAGACCAAAAGAAAGTCTGTGTGGTGGGGCTGGACAGAGCAAAGGGAATCTGAGATCAGCTGTGAAGGAGGAGATCAGATCAATTCTTTCTTGGGAAAAAAAAAAAAAAAATCAGTTGACTGTCTCCTGTGGGTCTGGGGCACCAGATATGCAAGATTGCTTCACACAAGGAGCAGGCAGAAAGAGCCGGTCAGGAAAAGCATTTCAGTGAGAAAGAAGTGACTGAAATCACTGCTGGGGGAGGCTGGAAACTGGGAAGGTTCTTTTAAGGTGAGGATTAAGAAGCAGATCTGGTCCCGCTCTCAGGCAGGGCCAATCATGGTGCTACTGAGAATCATGGAGAGCCAGGGTGTACTGAGCAGAGCCAGCAGGATGAGGAGGAAGCGAGATGAGGCTGTGGGTGCTTCGGTTTCCTCAGGGCAATGGTTGGGAACCACTGCTTGACTTTCCCAGAGGAGAACCCCAATCAGGCGTGGACCTTAGAAGCCCTCTTAGGCCCCGGATGCAGGTAGGGCTGAGGAGGAGGTAAGCAGCACCAACACTTGGAACCCTCTCTTTTCAGACATCTCAGAAAAGCCTCGGGCTGAGCCGAGTGCTTTGGCCCCTCTAAGCCTCCTATTGGTGGAGGACCCAGGACCCCTCCGCCAGCAACTGCAGGCCACCCGTTCACAGGACCATGAGCCACTCAGCTCTCACAACCTCTCCCAAGCGCGCTCAGAGTACCTGCCTTTCTTCCGTACCTATGGGCGGTCCCTGTCTGTGGAAGAGCTGGCCTTGAGTGCTGAGGTTGGCAGAGACCAGGAAGCTGTTGGGAACAGCAGAGGCCGTGTTCCCCAAGGACTCGGCGCCACCCAGTGGCTTCTTCCCTTACTACCGCTCTCGGGATGACTATCTCCCCAGCATCCTTCAAAACTGCTGGTGTCTGGGCTGCAGAGACTCCCTCCCTAGAAATGGGGTACAAGAGGGCTGCTTCAAGGTGACAGCCAGGGACGGATGCCCTGGGAGTTGAGGCTACAGGAGGGTGGGCAGCCCCAGGCCCTGGTGTGCTCCACACATCTATCCCTGGCCCATACCCGCTGAGGAATCACTGTCTAAGGGCACAGAGACTAGGGACAGACTGTCCAGCTCTATCCCAGCTCCACCCTTTGCAGGGGAGTGGCCCTTCCAGGGATTCAAGCCTCACTTTCCCCATAAAGGAGTTCTTGGAGACTCAGAGAGAATTACATACAGTAACACAAGGAAAGGCCTGAAACTAGAGCTGAACCCCATATAAATATCTACTTAGTTCTTTGAACTTGACAGACACCCAGACACTCCATCTCATTGTATTAGTGACCCTGTGAGACAGGTGTGATGAATATTATTTGTCCATGAGAAAATGTGTCAGAGAAGTAAAGGAACATGGCCTCAGTCTCACAGCAAGTGCAAAGCCTGGGATCTCACTCAGACTTGTGCCCTCTAATCTCACTAGCGACTCTCACCAACACCACACAGCTGGTCATAGTCTAAGGACTGTGGTGGAGGTGGGGTAGGTGGTTAGCTCAAAACCCATGCTCAGCCTTTCCTACAGGGGTTTCTGGATGGATGAGTACCTTACTGAGGGCTCCCTCTCCACAGAACTGGCCTGGGCCCTGTCTCCTTTCCTGACTGATGTGGAGATGCAGGCCAGGGCCCACCTTGGCATTTGGGCCTGAACCCAGGTACCGAGCTAGCACCTGGCCGATACCGTGTTTTTTCACCCAGCCTGCCTTGGCAGGGCCAGACCTCATCCCCGGAGCCTCACCTGCTTGCTGTTCTTTATTGGGAGGACAAATACATGACAGCAGCCAGGACTCCCCTCTCTCCAGGGGCCATGTTCCTGGTGCCTCAGGATTTGTACCTTACTACAGAAGTGCTGAGGAAATGCTACGCACAAGCCTGGTGCCTCCCTCATCTATGCTGGGGAGCCCAAGGGAGTGACCCCAACGTGGTGTTTCCAGCCTGTGAGGGTGCAGGAGCTGCATACATCAGGAACCGCTGCGGAGTGAGACTCCAGCACCTTGCCGGTCAGTGAGGGACAAAGGTAGCTGGAGGTGAGGGGCCCTGCAGCTCAAATCTGTTTGCTCTGGGACCAGAGGCTGGCCTGGCACATGGCCCTTACGCCTTTATTTCCCCTTCTTGGTGTGGAAGGAAGTGTTCCATCACTGGACTACTGATGAAGGAGGAGTCTTCTCCATGCCTAACAGAGGTGGCAGAAAGAACCTGCCTTCACCCCTGGCACACCTTTCTCAGTGCTCCATACTGACCTGAACTCCTACTCTGGTATCCCCATCCACCACAGGTCTTCCACCCTGGCATCCCCCTCCACAGGGTTGGAGATTTCCTGTCTCCTTAAGAGCAGAAAGGAGAGAGGCTCAGCCTGTTCCATGTTCAGCCACCCAGTGCTACCCCCAGAAATGACCCGTGTTACCCTAGCCGCCCCGTTTTGTTCTTCTAGGTAGAAAATCTGCCAGAGAAGAGGGGAACAGCCTCACCAAAAGTGACTCCAGATGAACCCTATCATGTCCCCCACTTGTCCATCATTCCTTATGTAGATTGTTCCCCATACAAAGGGAACAGGGCTTCTTGGACAACTAAGGGGCACACATATCCAGAGCTGGCTTTGCGAATAAATCCCATTACCACAAAATGGGATGCCTTACTGCTTCTGTTTAATGCTTCAGAGTGACATCTGCAGCTTTCTGCTATGCTAAGCATTCACTATGGAGCCATGTTCCTTGCACGACCCACAGGCTCGGTGGGGTGGGCAGATAGACCTGCTCCCTTTTATTTCCCACAAGGTTAGGCTTGAGAGCTGGAGCTGCCATCAGTGGGCAACCCAAAGTAGATTGGGGCTGGGAGGTATCCTCGTGCAAATTAGAAGAAGCTAGGCCACTCTCTCCTTGCATGACCCAAGATGAATCAAGACACAACATGTGCATGGCTCTCAAGGGAACAGGAGGAACCCCACTGCTCTCGTGACTGATGGGACCCTCCTATGTTTTCCAAGGCAATGTCAATCTCTCAAAGGAGCAGCCACAGGAAGGATTCAGGGCAGGGAGGAGCTTGGGCAACAGGTCGTTCTGGGTTGAAAGGGCAGCCACCTTCTGATCCATGCACTTGGCAGGGGTTGGGAACCACCCATCCGTGTGCTGACTACACATGAGCACAGTTAGGGCATGTAGCCCATAACAGAGTGAGCTGCTGTAAGGCTGGGCTGTGTGCCAGGTATGGGCTAAACACTTCCATGGTGGAATTCACTAATTTAAAGATAAGCACAACTGGAGGGACCACCACCTTTGATACAGGAGGATGTCTAGGCACAGACATCCCTAGGACACTCTCCCTAGGACACAGAGCCAGCAAACAAGAGGGCAGTCCGGACCCAGAGACATGTTTCTACCTTAGATAACTATGTCTGTGGAGCAAGATATCCCATTTAGTGACTCAGGACAGTGACAGGCATTCACTTTCCAGAGGGTCAGGAAACTGGGAGCTGCTCTGTGAGAGGTCTTAGTCAGGGTCACTCATGAAGATACATGGGATATAGCTACAGTAATTTGAGGGCTTAGCTAGGCCAGCCCTCTGCCTGCTCACCTTATAGGGCTGGAACACTGATGCCGGCATTTGGAAGGAGGCCTCAGTCCCTCACCATGTGGGCCTCTCCACAAGGCAGCTTGAGCATCCTCATAAGGTGACTGGAGTCCTCCAGAGCAAGTGACCCAGGAAGTTGAGTATTTTTACCTTTGTTTGCCCACATTGTTGGTTCCACAAATTAGCTCTAATTGAATATGGAAAGAGACCTCATAAGGACATGAATGGTGAGGATTATTGAGGACACCCTCCCCCTTGGAGTCACATGCCAGCTCTAAAGCTATAACCAGTGGAACCATACCAGTTAGTAGGGAGAGCTCACTCTCTAGGCAGGCCTTTGAGTTGGAGATGAATGAGGGGGGAGGTTAGCACTGTATTTGAGCCTAAGCAAAAAGGGCCATTTGCCTAGCACCTAGAAGTCTATAGTAGGTATTCAGAGAGGTTGAATATGTGCCTGGGCTCACACAGCAAATGGAGCATTAGTTGTTGGAAATGGGTGAATCATTGATAATGCAGAAAGAGGGGCACATTCTGGTTATAAGAAGCCTGGTGCAAGGGAAGTAGTCGAGGAAGGAGGAAGGAAAGATGGTTGAGGCCAGACACGCAAAGCTTTAAATTCCAAGAGGGTGAATGAAATCTTGTGCACAGGGGAACTGTGGTGACCCATGAGCATGTGGCCATGGCTGAGGGAGAACTGCTCAGGTTGTCCATTGCCCCCACTGGATTCCGAGGTCTAAGCCTCCTTGCTGGCTTTCTAAGGAGGCCCTCTTGAATGAGATTGGCTGCTTGGGAAGGTAACTTTACCTTCTCTCTAGACCCCTCCCCTCCTGCTTGAGTAAGCATATCACTGAACTGGAAGATCATGTCTATGGGAGATGCTGACACAGGATGGGTCAAGCTAGGCACCTACACAGGGTTTCTGCATTCTGATACCACGTGAGAAGCTGAATGGCATGTCTCCACTGTGGCATGACAGCCTGGAAGGGCGTCATAAACTGCCATGCTGTAGAGTTTCTGGTCTAGAATGCAGGAACCTGCAGAGGTCCCATGGTTGGCTCTGTGGTGGTGTCTTCATTGAAGGACCATTCTGAGATAAACCTGGAGCCTGATGGCATAGCCAGGACACTCAGGCAAGGCTCTTGTATTGGACTGACCGCCTCACCCAACTGTCCCCCCATAGGTATACCTGAGTCTCATGTGAGACTGGCTTTGAGCCCTGTTACTGGGCCCAGCTTCTGCCATTTATAAAACCTTGGTATATTTTGTAGAAAGTGATCCATATTTTATAGTTTTTATTTCCTCCCTTTATTACTGCATCAAAAATGATTTTTCAGGCCTTGGGAATCTCTTCAACACAGGAAATTTGTCATATGATGATCACACTGACTGGAGCAGAAGACAGCGGGGCATGGGTGGGCTCAAAGGTAAGAGTCATCTCAGACCTGACTGTTTCTTGAAGATGTGGAGTCCTACAGGCCTGGTGGTCCAGGCCTGTTATCTCAGCTGCTCAAGAGGCTCAGAAAGGAGGATGGCAAGTTCATAGCTAGTCTGAAAAATTTAGCGAGACTCTGTCTCAAAGTTAAAATGGCAAGAATGTAGAGGAGTCCCTAGGTTCAATACCTAACACATACACCCACCCATACACACACATTTCACGCCCCCCCCCGCCAGCATGATCCTTTTTAAAATAGATGAGTAAACAAGTGTAGATGGAACAGAGGCATCAAAGACTCACAGCAAGTGGGTAGACCTTAGGCATTCACTGGGGTAAAATACTGGTACTTTCAGATCCTGATACATTGCCCGTCTTAGCATTTGGAGAGTACTAGGGGATAAGTGCGCGCGCGCGTGTGTGTGTGTGTGTGTGTGTGTGTGTGTGTGTGTGTGTGTGTGTGTGTTGAGGTGAGGGTCGACTGAACTGGCAAATATGCTGGGTCCCCTGTGAGCAAATGCTTGTTTGAGAAGTACCCATGCCTATGTCATGGGGGCTACATGACTCTCCATCTGCTCACAGCAGCCATCCTGAAGACCACCACTGACCTGCAGATGCCGCTTTCCACACAATCTCATCCCAGCCCCTGTTCCTGCCAGCCATAGTCCTCAAGAGTCAGGCCCTTCAGCCTCTCTACACACAGGGGAGCAGAGCAAAGCTCTGTGGACTCCTTTAACCCCCTCCCCTGACCCTAGTCAGTTGTGTCCTTGCCCTGTGCCTTCCTCTACCACCTGCAGGAGCAGCTCAAAGACCTTCTCCCTAAGGCCTCCCAGTCTACCCGCAGACTTACTCTCTGTACACTGTCAGCCTCTGCTCTTCAGGCAGGCATGTATGAGCCTACACCTAAGCCTGGAGCACATGGAGGAGCGCCAAGTGGTCCAAATACCTCTCCTTACTGGGACCACACACTTCCCCTAGTTGTTCAGCAGGGCTTCCCTATGTGGTTTCAACAGCAGTAGAGGTTCTTATCACCCCCTCACATTCTCTTCTTTCATGAGTACCCTTCAATTCCAGATCTCCCAGCCCGGGCTACACAGCCTCCTGACTGCCCTGTGTCTTTGAGTCTTCAGTGCTAGCCTACATGTGTCCATCAGCTGAGAAGACATGCAGAGGGGAGCCAGACAATCCTCGGCCCATAGAACCCTGTACGGAAGAAAAGACAGGAACCCCCAGAGAACCAGACTGTATTTGAGGAGGTAGTCTCCCCTCTCCCCTCCTGACCACTGTGTCAGCTCTCCAGGAGTCCTTACAAAGTGACACAGTTGGCACATGCTAATCCCGTCTCATTGATGGAGAAGCTGAAGCTGGGAAGTTAGGGCATTTAGGCAGAGGGGTGGGACTGGGGTCTTTTAGGAAAGTCACTTTCCTTTCCGGAGTCCTGGCTGGAAGGAGTGTTTGGGGCCTGGAGTGAAACAGCAGGTGAGACCTGGAAATCATCACTACTAAATGGCTTCAGAGAAATTATCTATCTGAGACTCGTTCTTCCCACACCACGTGGAAAGTGGGGAGCTTCCTGGCAGCGTCAATGAGATGCTAGCAAAGAGTATCAGGTACCATCAGCTTGGTGCTCCAGTGAGGGACACAAGGCTGGCATCCTGAGGCTGATCAGCAGAGGCGAGTTACCAGCTTCAGCTGTTACTGAGCACTCTCACTTGTAGTCCACAACTCCCAAGACGCCTCTCAAGGCTACTCCGGCACCCTCAGACTCCACTCTGGGCCCCTGGGTCAGCATTCTCTTCTGTACTGAGTCTGGCTCCGTGCAGCCTCTTGGAGGTAAAATGGGCCAGAAAACCTCTCCAGTGGCTGGCAGCCTTTTCCATCTGGAAGCCCTGAGTGCTGTGCAGCAGCTCTCTCT